TACTACATGACACTGAATGATGCACAATCATAACTGAGCAATTTCTTTCTCTCTCTTATTGTGGACAAATGTTTCCCAACAGCAAGAAGTTATAAATGAGATTTTGGCTGCAGAGGAGGAAAAGAAAGTAGAGGAATTCCCTCACTTCAAATGAGATTAGGGAGATCTGTAAAATGTGCGAAACAGTGCAAACTTTTGAGCTTTTCCTACCTAATGGCCTCCTTCCCTGCTTTATGGAATCTGTGTAGGGACTCTTCCAGTTGCTAGTATGCCCATTAAAATGATGCAGTCTGGAACTGGAGAAGTAACTACAGGATTCAGGGATCCACAGAGCCCATGTGAAATGGACTTGAGTCTCATTCCATGGTTCTATTTTCTACATCAGACTGTGCTCTAATTGATAGACTTTCTAGCTCTCTAGAAATCATTGTCAGTTCGGGTCCAGTGACTGGTAATTCTTAAATGTTTTGATTATTTTCCCTCCTTCATTGCATAATAGATGTACAACCTCCCAAATATCCATAAGATCTTTGGGAAATTTAGAGGTAGGTTATAACATAAATTCTATATATAAATTCTTCCTCAACTGGACTTGGCAGAGCCTTAATTCAAGGAACTTTGGGCGTGTGAACTGGCTCAAAACTGGGAATTTGTTGAGAGGTTTAAAAACCCAGTGTTGTGATTTAAGATCGATTACTTCTTCATAAGACATATAATTTTTTATGCTAATGCAAATCAAATAAGACTTCAGTTGGCTGCCTTCAGATTAAGTACCTATCATCTGCCAGGTAAGGCCCAAAATCTGAAGACAGCCCATTTTGATTACTGTTTTACTTCTGCTGCCCAAGATGCTAGTCCTGGGTCATCTTTAGCAGTTAAGTGGCACCAATTGGCCTCTGTCATCATGGTATTCTGTCATTCCCAATGAATTCAGGGAGCCCAGCTTAACTATGTTCAGGCAGCCCTGAACTTAGGACAGGATTTGCCTTTGCCATTACTGGCATAGAGCCAACAGCCTCCACACAGTTTTTCAAGGATTATGGATCACCTGCATGCATGTGTCATTCATAGTGAACGGATGTTCTTTGTACCTTTTTGAGTCAAAGTTAGGGGGTGGCGGGGGCCGGGGAGATGGCTCAGTGGAATAAGCGCTTCCCTGGCAAGCGCAAGGGCCCAAGTTCAATCCCCGGTTCCACAAAAAAAAAAAAAAGTTAGGGGGTGGTGAGCAAGTTTGAGTTAATAAATCCACTCTAGTATTTCAACCTCTCAAATCCTAGGATAACTTCCACCAAGATATATTGGAGAAGCTCTGGCATTTCTGTAGAATTATGCCTATCCCTTAGAGCTATCACATTCGATTTAGAATCTCTATGCAATAAAATCTTTATGCAATAAAAAGCCCTAGTAAAAACTAGGGCTTTCTGACATTATTGTCCTTGAACCCTGATCCCTTTGATTCATTCCCATTCTTTAGATTTCTGGCTAGGTAAATTAGCAAAAGTCTTAATTCTTTTAGCATGTGTTATACTTCTTCATTCCTTAAATGTCTTTGTAACTGTGGTAGGTCTTGTCTGGTTATAGATCTAGAAGCTGTAAGCAACAGTAGGGCCAGGCTCTACTATCTCATAAAGACATTTTAGGGTTTTTAGATGAGACAAACCATCTCAGTAAGCACAGGATGAATTCTTACTATTGCTAAGAAGACTTGGCAGAATTTAGGGGTACAGGGTCTCCAGCTTTGTTGGAATCTACCCATCTGCTTGTATTGCATTTTCAGTTCATTTCCTTTCACTTAATGACTTATCTTTACCATAAGAGACTATACAAGGTGAAGAATATTATCTGCATTGTTTTAATTACCTGCAATATTATACTTTAGATTTAATTTTCAGAAATTTTGATTCTATGGCTAAATAAGAATTTCTTTTATGATAGTCACATCAGATTTCTGGTCCCTTGCCTGAGCTTTGAACTGGATAAAACCCTATGTTTATCATTTTCCTCTTAAAAATTCTCCCATGCACTTGGAGGCAAACAATACTCCATTATAAGCTTTATTTTCACTAAATTTTCTATGGCAGCAACTACTTGGTCACTCCAACCCTGACTTATTTTTTGTCTCTTCAAGTGCTAATTTTAGAAACTGCTTTGCCATTATATTTCCACACTACAAATGTTTCCCTTATTTCAGGCAACAGTACTTTAAATCTAATTAGATTGGGACTATTTATGCTGAGATGGAGTCAGCCTACTGTAGTCCACATCTCTCATTAGTGCTGGGGTTTGGTATAAGTGGCCCCCAAAGGTCCATGTGTTAAAGCTTGCTCCCCAGGATGGTGCTGGGAGGTGGTGAAGACTTTAAGGGGTGGGATCTGGTGGGAAGTTTTAGGTCATATAGTGTGCATTGCAGTCAGTCAGTCATCCTATTTATTCATTGCAGTAAATACCAGATTGATCAGAAATTTAGCAGAAAAGATATATATATATATATATATATATATATATATATATATATTACTTTCAGGTAGTGTATATAACATTTGAATTAGGCTGGGGGTATAGCTTGGTAGCATGTGTGAGGCCTTGGGCTTAATCTCCCAGCTACATACACACATACACACACTACTCCAACACCCCTCCAACCTTAAAAAAGCTTTTCTTCAACAAAATATTGAAATGAAGCAACAGAATAAAACATTACAACATAAGCAAATGAAAACCAAATACTTGCTTTTTAGTATATTTAACAAATACTTGGATAACACATACATACATACATATGTATGTGCATATATATATATATATGTGTATATATATGAATGCACTCACACTATATGGTCTATACTCAGATCTAGACAATACATTTTTGAAGGAAGAAATATTGAAGAAAATACAAGCATACACACATATGGCGTTGGTATGGGTAAAATAACATCCTATGGAAAATATATTAACACAAGAGTCTATTACATCTGTTAAAAAATGTAGAAAACTTGTAAGAAAAATACAAGAGCTGTGTGTATGTGTGTGTGTGTGTGTGTGTGTGTGTTTTTGTGTGTGTTTTGACACAGGTTCTTGCTATGCAGTTCAGACTGGCCTTGAGCTCACTTAATAGCCCAGGCTGGTCTTGGACTCTCAAAGATCCTCCTGCCTGAGCCTCCAGAATGCTGGGATTACAGGTGTGCCCTCCCATTCCCAGTCTTAAGAGCCAAAATTTGAAAGACAGCACAGAAAAGAAATAGTAGGGACTCATTGCTAATAGGTTTGAAAGGTCACTTGGGCCTGGGGCTCTGAATTCCCAGGAGCTTTGGATTCCAACAGGTACAGCAGAAAGCCTCTGCCAGTGCTTGTTGACCCAACTGGAGAGAGAGTGGGATTCCAAGATAGACTGCCTGGAGTGCAAAATGAAACTACAGATCTTTCCTAGTCCTTACCTACTTCCAGACCAGATGACCCTGATATTTTTACTTTCTAAACCAAATTCTACATTCAAAGTGAGTACAGGTCCGAGTGAGTGAATCTCATGAGGAAGGAGTAGCCAAGTCTGACAAGGTTAAAAATCTGTGAACTTTGAAAGCTGCTTTGTTGTTGGTTTGGAATCACTTAGCTAAAGCTACATAATTTCTGCAGGCCCTATGCCAGCTTCTATCTGCTAAGACTTTAGGAGGACACTGAATTAAAAACCGTACTTAAGTACAATTTTTTTCTTCAATGGATTTGAAGGTCTAGGGATTTATGACTTATCTAGAAAGACAAAGAGACAAGCTTTAGAAACACCAGCTCTGGCGGGAGCATTTCTTCCAAATTAGGCGAAGGGACTCAGGTGGTGGTTATGGGTCACTCAGAGTAGGAACCAGATCAACCAGTTTGGAATTTGGAAAGCCGTTTATTACTGAGCTCAGGGCCCCCCAGTCTGCTCTCACGCAGGAGAGGAC